AAAAAAAAAAAAAAAAAAAAAAAAAAAAAAAAAAAAAAAAAAAAAAAAAAAACTGATTGAGAAAGTTCTGAGCGAAGTTCTGAGTCATCGTATATGCATACAAAAGTTTTTTCCTTACTTTCGAAAGGACAAGCAAAAACTGTGTAAGCAATTCCTTGGAAAAAAAAGAAAAAATGTCAACTCCATGACATTAAAATCCTTGGATAAAATCCTAACACTAGACTAATTGTACACTTAGCCGTGAAATTACATAGAGAGGTCAGACATTTTTTCCAAAAAATTGTATGGAATTTGACAGTACAGTGGTTACTTATCATCAGCTACATTTTTGGATAATTTTTATTGATTTATAATATTATATGCTCAAGCACAACTCCAAATCTGCTGAAGATTACAAAATAGCCTTCAATTTTAGCTAAACCCAAGTTTGATGACACATTTCTAAGTAATTAATTTAAGAAAAACTTTAATAAGAATATGTAGAATGACCTTTTGCCAAATAAATGAGTAAAACGTAAAGTAGAACAAGTAAAACTTTAATTTCAACTCAAAAAAGAGTAATGTAAGAAAATCTTATGAGTTAAAAAAAATTATTAAAAACATTGCAAATTAATTATCACTTGTGTATTTTCACAATTGGCTAATAAAACATGTAACCATTTTTAGGTGTCATTATCACTGGTGACCCTCGCATCGAAAATCTTGGGCGTACGACTCACTAAAATCGATCAAGATTTCCACAGACCAATCATTACCGCGGAAATCGGCGACACGGTCGACGTGCCGATAACGAAGAATCGCAAGGCAATCAAGAGAAAACCGAACAAAAAGCAGTCAACGATTCATCATTTCAAACCAAACCTTCCGGCAGCAAAATCGGTCACGTGCTCTCTCCAGTAATATCGAAAATCATGTAAATCTCTTGAGAAAAATCAACATGTGTTCAAAACAATGTAGAGGTACATATGAGGCATTGTCCGCTCATTTTTCACTTTTCAGGGTACCCAAAAGTGCCAAATTTAAATTTCAAGCTACACCTCTTCAATAATTTTCTTTTTTTTTCATTGGTATGGTAATTTAATATTTAAAAAATGTTCAAGAATACGCAATTCAGGTCTTTGCACATTTTTTTCAGTATGGAAAGGAAAATAATATCAATTTTCGTTGAAAAAGTAGACATACTTTCATCTTTCAGACTAATTAACGTATAAATGTTCGAACGAAAAATAGGCAAACCATCTTTTCCACCATTTTTAAGGTCGCTCTTTTCAATGGTACAGTTTGAATTTTGTCAATATCTCGTTTGTTACCATATTTTTGCAAAATAAAATTGAAAAACACGAATTTTCCTGTTTCTTTTCGGATTTTTGGCATTTCTTGGATACTTAATATTATTTTTCAATAGTAAAGTGTGTGAATAAGATCTTGGAAGTAAATTATGATTAGCTGGTTTAGTATTCGCCATTGTTTTTGCAAGTGCAACTTTTAAGAATCATAAGAATAATTTTTTCATACACTTCAAGGTGAAAAATTTAATTTTTACAAAAATTATAGCCGAATCTCATTATACGAAAAAATCCGTTAGNAGAACGAGTGTAAAATTTAAAACAACGGGATAAAAAATGTTTTGACAGGGGCATCTTATCACATTTTGAAATAAATAAATTCGCATCATTTCAGTTCTTTCGCGTGTTGAGCCTTTATTTGAATGCAAAAATCATAAAAATGCTGTAAAAAATTTTGAGACAGCTGATCTTAACTCTATAAAATTGGTATTTTGGATTAAAAAATTTACTTGATCTATCAGGTAGGTAAAAAAAAATTATTGGGTACGTATTTTTCTTTTCTATATAAACAAAAAATAACAAAAATAGAACAGGTCTAAGTTTTTGATGGATTTTTGAAAATGGTGTTGTATTTTATCCATACTCCGAAACTTTGATATGATTTATCTTTATTATAATTTCTGTTTATGTAAACAAAGGAGAAACACGGTTACAAATTTTTTTTATCATACAACATTCTTAATGCATCACGCTGCAAAAAGAAGATAGAATCTGAGTCAAAATCTATCAAAAAATCAAAATCCAGTGAGAACTTTTTTTTGAAACGTAACTTTGATATCTGATTAATTTTAAACAAAAAAATATGTTTAAAATTAAACAAGCAGACTACACAAATTTTTTGTTGGTTATATCTGACACAAATATCTCGTTAAAAATACAGAAATCTTGTGCCTCATTTATTATTTCTAGACACAGTTTTTATTTTAGTAGTTTGGTTATAATTACAATTGAGGGGCTAAAAATGGACAGGACACGTAAGTAGAAGGATNACATTTTGGTAATATGTTGTTTATTACCATATTTTAGCAAAATAAAATTTAAAAACACCAATTTTCCCCTAGTTAAGTGTGTGAATAGAATCATAGAAGGAAATTTCGAGTAGTTAGTTAAGCATTTGAAACAGTTTTTGCAAGTGAAACTTGTAAGAATAATTATTTTAGACAAATCATGACGAAATGTTTAATTTCTACAAAAATTATAGCCAAATTTCACTCCACGTAAAAATATGTTAAGAAATAGAAGTTTAGCATGTGTTTTGGATTTAAAATTAAAGTAGTGTTTTGAACAGTAAAAAGTTGCACTGGTTAAATTGAAATAATTTTCAACAATACATCAAAATGAAAAATATGTACTTGAAACAAATAATGAAGATCTCAAAAGTATAACTACTTTAATTAATAATTGCTTTAAGAACTAATCATAATATTGTTAAGAGTGACCTCGATAATGGTGGAAAAGATGGTTTGCCTACTTTTTGTACGGACATTTATACGTTAATTAGTCCGAAAGATAAAACTACGTCCATTGTTTTAGCGAAAATTGATATTCTTTTACATTCAACGCCGAAAAAAATGTGTAAAGACCTGAATCGTGTGTTCATGGAATTTTATTTACTATATAAGTTACCAACAATGAAAAAAAAATTATCAAAAAGGTGTAGCTTGAAATTTAAATTTGGCACTTTTGGGTACCCTGAAAAGTGAAAAGTAAAGGGAGAATTCTTTACGTACGTCTACATCTCAGATTAAATATTTTTTGTATTTCATGTTAAAATTTAGGTTTAACAAGTAATTTTTGTTTTAAATAAAAAAAGTAAAATAAGGCCCTTTTGAGCGTGCCTTAAAAGCAAGGTCAAGCAACGTAAATAATGTTAATGAAAATAATAGTAAATTAGTTAATGTATTATCATCGAATGTAACATTTTATATTAATAAATTTGAATGCCTACCGTGTGCCTTACTATGAGGGTGAATGTTTGTGATGCGTACAATGCAATCACTGAAGGTACAAAAAGAGAGTCAAAGTAAGACAACTTGATTGTCTATAGAGTTTCGTAAAAACAACTTCAATATATGCATTTATTTTAAAGTTTTTACATTTACAGAGAGCAAACGATAAATATATATAAATGATTTTACATATTTCAATGGAAGTACTAGGATGGCAACGCAGTCTTGAACGAATCCAGTACTTTGTGTAATTGTACAACTGAGTATTATATACGTGAGTGTGCCTGAATCGTTACATCCATATTTGTAAATATAATCAACACTGTACGTCTCGCTACAGTAATGTTAATAAAAAATTTCTAAAATTTAACAGTGTCTCACTCATATTTTGTGTCTTTCAAACGTCAATAATTAGAAAAAAAAACAAAATTATCAATACATGAGTATAACTTTGTAATGTAAAAATTTAATACTTCAAGTTCCATAATTGACGTAACGTATGCTTACAAAGTGACAATATATTTTAGCTTCACAGATCCGACCGTTATCATCTTTGTATAATTAACGCTCTTCCTATCAAACTCATCCGAATTGTAAGTTCATTGTCATCTAAGAAACGTAGTTAGCTTCTACAATATCTATGCTGTCTAATATGGATCCTTTGAACATCCATCGATACAACGAACAATCGTGCGGTATGTACATGATTTTGGAGCCTCCCCAAGACTATACGTAATTTTGATTTATTTTTTTGTCTAACAACGATTGATCACGCTATTTTACACTGGACGGTAAAAACAAATTTTCGTGCCTACAAGTTTTTCAATTACCTCGCACAACGATAGTTACAATAAAAAAAAAAAAAAAAAAAAACCCAACTGACTAGTTCTACTCTCCCTAAATCGATGCTCTTTCCTGCACCGAACCAGTTAATAATCTCCTGATTTTGTGTCTCTTCCCGTCACTGATTCGGCCCAAAAAAGAGATCATATATTACACACTACCCATCTGACAGCTACAGCCTCAACGAAGTTAAAACTCGAGAGGCCTCCTCGGCCACGAGTCCCGCTCGAGTATCCTCTCCCTCGCGCTCCACAGAGCCATGACCTTCTCGTTGACCGGCTCCAGGTACGTCTCCAGCCACTCCAGAACCGTGTAGTTGCCATAGACCCCCTCCGCGATAGCGTTCCTCATCTCCTTCTCGATGTAAACGAGCTCCATCTTGTACCTGTCCAGCTCGGCGAGGGCCCTCTCCACGTGGCTGGGGCTCGAGAACCCGTGCCTCAAGTTGTACGGCTTCAGCCAGCCTCGAAAAGTGCTGTCCTGCTCCATGCGGGCGATCTCCTGGCAGAGGGCGTGCAACCGGAGCGCGGCCGAGTAGACGGATGCCCCGAGGTAAGTACACTTGGTCCAGCCGTACTGGGGCTCCGGGAGACTCAGGGTGATGGTGCCCTCGCAGCCCAGGGCCTCGGTCACCCGGCGCGGGACGTCGGCAGTGAAGCTCGCGTAGTCCGGGGCCTGGAGGACTGCGAGGTTCACGGCCAGCGAGGGCAGAGCCGCGGGCAGGAGTTCGCACAGCACGCCAAAGTGGTCGTACCTCTGCCACCCGGTGAGCATCACCCCGCGAAAGTGGATCCGGTCCGAGTGCCGGGCTATTATCTCGAGCCAGCGCTGGTGGTTCTCCATGTGGTGGGCGATGTCCGTGTAGTACCGATCTGGTGCTGTGGCGCCCTTGAAGGCCGTCGCCACCCAGACGGAGGACCAGACGCTCGCGTAGTTGTCCCAGAGCTGGTCCGGCAGGCTGGAGATCGGGTCTGTCGTGTACTTCCAGACCACCGGCTCCACGAGCTCGTTCAGGCCCTGATCTATGATCTCCTGGGGCTCGATGTCTCGGAACTCATCGTCCCACGTGAGGATCTTGACACGGGGATACTTGCTCTTCACGTAGGACGCGACCGTCCGCACGTGGTTCAGGAAGAGCTGTCTCCTGGACCATTGCTTCTTAGCCATGGTCTCGAGGCACCTGTTGCACTCGCCGAGCTGGTAGACCTCGTCCGAGCCAATGTGCAGATATCGGATTTTGGGGTGCATGGCCACCACTTGGTCCACAACGTTGTAAATCAGAGGCAGAGTTTTGTTGTAAGTCGGACAGACTACCTGTGGGTAGCGTTGGACTTCCCGGTACTCGATGTACTTTTTCAGCTTCAGTATGAACTCCATGTGGCCAAAGGTCTGTATCAGCGGTATGATGAACAGGTCGTTCTCCTTGGCAAGGTCCTGGATCGTCATGACGTCTTGCTTGGAGTAACAGTTTCCAGCACTCACGTCCGCCAGGTCGCCCTTAAAGGGGAACATGTCCTCGTACTCCAGGAGTATTCCTGTGGCCCCCAACTTTTTCAGCATTGGAAATAGGTACTTGTAGTAACTGACCAGAGGCGGGGCGCCCTTCAGATCCAAGTGGACGACCTTGTGTCCCTTGTAGAGGGAGTTTCTCTGGTACGAGCCCTGATCGACATCGCTGTTGTCGAATTCCCCTATCCCACGTCCTCTGGACTTACTCCGCTGCACCTCGAGCTTCTGGCTCTGCGGGCTTCTTGGGTTGTCAGTGTGGTAGCCATCGTCCTCCTGGAGCTTGGCATAGGGTCGGAGCTTGGCGGAAGACGCATCCTCGACTTCGCTGCTGAGCATGTGGTAGACGATGATCAACAGAGCAAACACCACCATCAACACTATGGACACCTGAGCTCGGCCCTTTAACCGCGTCATCTCAATGGTCCGTCACGGGCACATCACAGCATTGTGGGAAGATAAAAAAAAAATGTACCTGGAAGATCAGTGATGCTTCCACACTCGGGTCGGTCTAATTACATATAGGAGCTACATTTTTAAGCACACTGCACGCTGCAATATCCGGAGATAAGATCAAAACACAAGCAGATCATATACATGCACTGCAGAGAGAGCACAATAGTATAGTTGACTTTGGAACGCTGGTGTTGTTATTTTCGTTGAAATCAATGTCAGACTTTATTATCTGGTAAATAAGGTATTGTTTGATTCATCGTTATGTATTATAACAACGATATTGATAATCAATGCGATGCACTTCTATATATATACAAAAAAGAGCTAAACTAGCAGACGCTTTCTGCAGGCGAGAACAGAGATGGATTTAGATTGGCTGGCGAGTCGTGGCGGTCACATTGAACATTTGAATTCGTGAGTGATCAATTGGTAAAAATTGATGAATCGTATGGAAAAACTTATTTGGATTCTTTTCTCGTTTCGTTGATAAAACGGGAAAATTGTTGATATATTCTGTATAGCAGATTAGGTTTTTCCATTATTTCACCCTCGAATTTCCATTATAATTCAAGTGCAATGATGAGCAAAGAAAATGAGAAAAACTTAAAAGAATCCTTGAGTGATTTGAAGTGACAAAAAACTTCTTATAGCTCCTCAGAACAAATTGTTCTCTAACTCTGTTAAATATCGCTCAAGTAACAGATTTTAAATGTTCAGTATTGTGACTGTCTCTATGTGGCATTTGCCCGTCACTTTGTCAAACGCCATGATTTTGTTCCGTCATTAATGTGTGTCAAAAATCTCAAACGAAAAAAACAAGACCGATGTAAACAAACTCTCAAGAGTCTCTTGACAAGAGACAGTAATTAAAAGTTTAAGTATTTATTTTATTTGTATAAAAAATCAGAAAAACAGTGAGCAGACAATATTCGAATTCATTGAAAGAAGTAAGTGATGATGGCAATAATATATCGATGTTGTAATATAAAACTAAAGCTGTAACTTCCAATGTTTACAAATGTACAAATTAAATACATCGTATTATTTATTCATTACAATACATCATAAGTAAATGACAGTTTACTTCATTATAATAGTAATCAAAGTATAATCTTTGCTTCTTGTTTTTTGTTTATGTCTTTATATAATCATATATCATGAATGTCTAAATATTTTTTAGCTTTTTACATAACTTTCCATTTACATTTTCCTTTATTACCATTTAATTGGGCTCATTATCCTTGAAGTTTCAATGAATAAATAAATAAATAACAACTCAGCATTTGAAGATGACATTTAAGATGTAACGTTTTTATATATAGTTTCAGAGTAGCAGCTATGCCGGGTTGTAGTGCAAAATACTGCACAAATTCGTTGGTAAAGGGTTTTCAGATGTGTCGGATACCATGGAATAAAAAAGAAGAGAAATGTGGTTAAAATATTTGAATCGACCAAATTGGGAACCTGGGCCTAACTGCTGTTTGTGCGAAGTACTTGTCAATTGTATATTTTTTAATGATAACGGATTGTGTATTTTTCGTTTACGTCCAGTGCAAATTAATTTAGTTTAAGTGAACAATTTTACAATGTTTTTTCAGGATCATTTTGAAGACAACATGTGGGAAAAGACTCGCGATAGAAAACTCAAGAGCTCAGCAGTCCCGACTATTTTTAATTATTCACAAGAAGTCAATGAGTACGAGGTGCATCCAGCAAACGTGATTTCCATCACTTTGACCAGCATTGCCAATGCTCCGGATATACATAACAATAACAACAAAGACAACATAAGTAAACTAAGTGCATAAGTGTGATGGACATGAATATTGCAGTTGCAGAGGAAACAAGCGGTGGTAAAATTAAATATTTTCTCTTTTAGTTTTTTTATATTTTATACTAACTGGTATATTTTAATTCATTTTATTACACATCTTTCGTGATCCTGTGAATGCTACTAAAAAAAGATCATGGAATTTGTCTATTTTGATAAAAAATAATATTTACATGTAGATCTTTATTCATGATTTGAAGATATACCAGAAAATAAGTAAGAGCTAGGTAAATCCTATTTTTTACTTCTGAATTTATTTTTAGCAAAATCTATTGGGTCACATGAATTAATTAAACCACAAACTCCAAAGACAGAAATAAGTATGCCTTGTAAAGATTCCAGTATTTGTGATGAAAATGTTACTAGTTTTGCTCAAAAAGGTGAGTTTACTATTTTAAAATAACAGTACAAGCTTNTTCTTTTAGTGTAATCATTTTTATATGTTTAAAAAAAATTTTTGTACTTACTATTGAATAGATACGCCGTATCCTAAAAACGTATCCATTCAGTAGTTATAATGTTGCTAATTAGCAGCTTATAAGGTAATTAGTTATAATAATTAGCAAATTAGCAACGTAATTACGTCAGAAGTTTAAATTGGAAAAATTTTCTCTGATCTTAATAAAATTTTCTTGATTTCTTTTTAATGAAGTAAATTGATGATGAATCATCCGAAAAATCGTTAACTTTTTTTTTTATTCAATATTTAGTTTAAGACAATGCCTAACTCAAATAATTGATTGCCAAAGTCACTTTTGATAGACGCATATATAAGCTTGTAAAAAAGTGTATACGTAAAAATAAAAATAAAAAATAAGTATGTACGTGTCTCATGTAAAAAAGTAAAAAACTAAATTTAAAGCTCGAAATTTAAACAAAGTTTCCATTAGAAAAATCCCATTACTGGTCGCTAAACAAAACCACTCGTCGTATCGAAGAAAGTGTCAGCCTTCAAAAAAAAAAAAAAAAAATTTCTTTACTATTTAGTATTAAGTACCTATGGGATCACAAAGACCATATTATAATCCAAGTATCCAAGGTGAGGCTTTTGTTGTGGTGACGCGACTAACGTCCCGTTTGGCGACGAATGGCGTACACACTCTTAAAACAAACGGTCCGCATTACACATAACAACTGCATGTACACACATAATCCATTCGCTCAAAAACGAAAAAAAGGACTCGGCGTCGAAGGAGCGTCAACGAAAGAAAGCGCAAGCGCGCTCTCGCGCCGTATAACACCTGTCCGCGGTCAGCGGCGGCAAAATCGTCTATTATCGATTGCCGCGATAATTTATTCAAACGTGCGTTCACCAACAACAGGGGAAAGCCTCGCAGGCCACGAACGAAAGGGGGGGGGCAGTTTTACATGCGATCGATGGGTTGTATTGTTATGGTCAGCGCTGCGTGTAAGCTCGACCACCCTTGGGTAACACAGTAAGTAGTGGCCAGTCGAGCATGCCACGCCGTTCGAGGGTGTACAAGGAGGTGCGCTCATAGCGGGGTCGGATGTCCGATCAGGAGGACGATTACGCCGAGAGACGGCTCAAGATCGTCCTGGTCGGCGATTCCGGGGCTGGTAAAGTGAGTCCTTCTGATGTTTAATGTGAACATTATTCATTTTTTTTCTTTTTTTTCTCTCTCTTTTTCACAAAGTATATACACTTTAATTTGCTGTAAAGGGTGTCTTGAAATGAAATGAGTCTTGTGAGATTTCTTTGTTTTTAAAAAAATTTTTTTATTTTATAGTTTGGTAAATTTTTTAGCTTCATTCCGTTCCATGAAGATAAGAGTATTTCTTTAAATTACCCAGAACGAGTGTAAAATTTAAAACAACGGGATAAACAATTGTGTGGATGTAAAATTTTTATAAAACATATAAAAAAAAGTTTTTTGTCGATTGTTGAAGTATCAAAATTTCAACGAAAGACCTTGAGATTAGTAGAGTCGCGTGCGATCGCCGTGGTCAGAAATGTAAATGTAGGTTGTAATTACAGACCAGCATTGCGGTCAAGTTTTGCCACAATGAATTTTCACGGCAATACACGCCGACGGCCGGGATCGACTTCTACATGAGAAACCTCCCCATCGGCGTCTACAAAAATGTAAACCTCTACCTGTGGGACGTCAGCGGTCTGTCACTCCGCTCGAGTATGCTCGACAAGTACATTTTCGACGCAAACGTAAGCAATTTTTAAATTCTCTAATATATTTTTAACATGATTTTATTATATTTTATAATTTACTACTCATTAATCTGAGGTCCTGGTCACTTTAAATTGTATCGATTGCAAAGAATCTTGAGTTTTTGTAGCAGTTTTTTTTATTTTTGATTAGAAATATGTTCATAAATTTTATGTGAAATTATATAATTACGAAATATTAAGTTCATAATTGTTATTTAAAAGGGAGTTCATAGTATAGAAAAATTAATAATAAATNTGTGATGAAAATGTTACTAGTTTTGCTCAAAAAGGTGAGTTTACTATTTTAAAATAACAGTACAAAAATAATAAAAATCTGTAAGAATTAAAAAAATTTTTAAATAATGTGAAGAATCCACAAAACTGTATCTTTGTATTGATTATTTTTTAGATGAATTTTGTGATGTCGCAAAAACGTGTAATTTATCTAAGGGTCAAGATGAAGAAGTATCTATTCAAAGTATAATGCTGAGACTCATAAAACTAGAAAAAATGTACAAATCTTCAGAGAGAAGTTGGTTAAAATATAAAGTCGCGTTATGTCAAGTTCAAAAAAGAATCAGGAGATTAGAAAGTCAATTGCAAGCGGTAACAAAAAAGGTACAGTCAACTATTTTTTATTACTTTGTTTGAAAAATCTATATTTATTGATGAAACAAACTTGACTTCATACAAAAAAATGATACTTGATGGGTTTAAAAAATCTATATTTATTGGAAAAAACTTATTTAAAACATAAGTAAATGTTCCTGTTTTTAAAAACCCAAAGACTTTTCTTGGCGTCTTGAACAATTACTCAAAAAATATCCTAGCTGAATTTGTAAAATCTGAATAAAAGTTTTGGAAATTTAGCTCCAAATCCTATGGATGGTTATTCAAGTAAACATTTTTTTAATGAGAAAACTTTTTTGTATAAACAATCAATTTTTTTCATCAAAAAACTTGGGTGATTACAAATAAACAAAAAAATCTTTTTACTTTTTTTTTATTGTGAACGAATCTTGCACCAAATTAAATTAAAGATTTTTATTTTTCAGACGAGGTAGAAATCCAAGAGAGTTATACGTATGCATTTGAAAAACTTTGAAAGCATCTAGCCATGAGTAACATAATATATATGTCATCACGCTTTATTACAATAGATTAAGTTATTTAATTATGTACGATATTAGAAATATTTTTGTAATTTTTGCTAAATAGTTTATCCAAGACATGAATTTTGTATTTCATAAAAACTTCAAATACATTCGCCAATATTCTGGATAATTTTACAAATTCGATCCGTTTATTTGTTTATTCCATCAATGAGCAAAAAAAATACTTCGGTATACTTAATAAATAATTATTAAACTGACAATTGTACGCCAAAGTTTGGAGACTTAGTTAAAGTATATCTGTTTCTCTACACTATTGAAAATTATAAATTTTGTTTGTGCAGGTAATGTTAACAGTTAACTAGTGATGAAAAAAAAGAGTAGCGCATTGTACCTATTGTCCCAGTCGTAGGGGCCGTTTTGAGTCTAGGGACACTAATGGTAACGGACTAACGGGTTAATTTGGGACTAATGGGACTTATATGGAACTTACATGGGACTGATTGGACTCGGGCGACCTCTGCGTGATAACTAAATATCACCACATATATCGGAGCACGTGTGTCGTCGTCTGCCCTTATTTACCTAACTCTTAAAGTTTCTGGTTTATGTGGATTTTGTTGATAAATAAAAAGTGTTGAAATTTACTTTTCCTGAAGTGTATTATAACGAAAAATTAGATATTTCAGCATACGTAAGTATATTTGTACTATTTTTGCGAGCTTAAATGTATCTAAACTTACACATAGAAGTAGAGTTGTCGTTATCCAAAGCAAGTGCTTGAATTTCATTTGGAACACATTTTGTTAATATTGACCATTTAATAAAAATGAGTTCAAATGAAAAATTAGAAAATGTACGTCGGATCATACGCACATCCGAATTGTAATTTTGGTTTGCTCTTCTTCGAGGTTAAACGAATACTTGAAGTATAAGGTAACCATTTATTTACAAGTTGTTTTGTTTAACAAGGATACCGTTGAGGAGAACCAGCTACAGGTAATTAAAAAAATGAAGGACAATCCATCACCCCCAGGTAATTTAGTTTGCTACTGGGGCAATTTGAAAGACCATCCTGAATGCATTCATGGTAAATATCTTTAAGATGAGTATCTATATGTAAAATTACAAAATGATATTGATGGGCGAGTAATTTTATCGCAGGACCAGCCTTACTTTTTGGAAGGGAAAACGAAGGTGAGGAGAAAAAATTTTACACCTGCTCGGCGTGCAGGGACAGAAAGCTATGCACATTTTACCTCGAATACGATAAAGAGCCCAGCAAGTACGAAAAGCACGCCTGGGAGCAAGAGAAGAAAAAATACGCTGCTTCCTACAACCATGCCAAACTATTTATTTTCTACAATCAGTTGATGAGCAAAAATCCGACCAACAGAGCGTATTGTCACACGTGCGAGAAGCTGCTACTTACCACTGACAAGCCGAAGCACCCCGATCATCAGATAACGGAATGTTTGTCGGATCGCCAGATGACACACCCCACGGAACTATTGAAACCACTGGGGAACTCAAAAAAAGAAGCTCAATATTTGTTTTCTGAAAAAGCTGTGAAGGATATTGTTGGCTTCTTAAGTGATTTGAACGCTAAAAATGTTTTGTGCATCGGAGCACCAAGAATTCATGAACATATAACTAATCATTTGGGGGATAACATGTCCAGTTTACTGCTGGATTTTGATGGTAGATTCGTAAGTTTGAAATTTGTATAAATATCATCCAAACTGCCATGATAATGTTTAACGTTGACTTTAATCGAATATGTTTTGCAGCACAATTTTTTTGGTCCCCTAAATTATTGCTGGTACAATTTGTTCAATCACCACTTTTTCCATGATGATTCGGAGGATGTATTCAAAGATTTCCTTACCCAGGATGGGGGCAAGGACATGTACTTGGTGTGCGATCCACCTTTTGGAGGACGTATCGAACCAATGTCACAAACCATCAAACTTATCAGTGATCTGCACAAAAAATTGAACAAGATCACCGATGTTAAAAACGAGTTGAAAATTTTTTTCGTGTTCCCTTACTTCACCGAATCCATAATGAAAGAAAAATCAAATCCACCGAGCGTTAGTGGAGGTTTAAGAGATTTAAAAATGACGGATTACAAAGTTGCGTACAACAATCATCCACTGTTTACATCCAAAGGTAACAGTGGACAGCAAGGATCGCCAGTCCGTTTATTTACGAACGTCCCGATGAATCTCGTCAAGCTGCCAGAATCGGATGGATACAAGTACTGCAAGAGATGCGATCGGTGGGTAGCTGCAGAAAACAAGCACTGCAAAATTTGCCGCAGTTGCACGTCAAGGGATGGTCGGCGGTACAGGCACTGCAAGCTGTGCAAGCGTTGTGTCAAACCCACTTGGAAGCATTGCAAACAGTGCGACAGGTGCTCGTTGCCTAGTCACACTTGTGGACAAAAACCGAAAATTGGAAGTTGCTTCGAGTGCAATGAGAAAGGTGAGACAAGATTGCAAGGTGGTGAGTGTCTTAATTTAACGATTTGTATTATTTTTCAGGTCACACAGGAAAGGAGTGTCCTGGAAAAAATTTGAAAAAATTGGTGACGAACTTGAAGGAAAAGAAGCAAAAAAAAAAAGTCGAGAAAGATATCATGGCTAAGAAGAAAAAACTCGAATCTTTGAAGACTTTAGAGGCCTTGGAGACGACAGTGGAGAATAATAAAAAAAGCAAGGCAAAGAAAGTCAAAGAGGAGGCTGCTAATGTGATCAATGAAAGAATTATTAAAAAAATAGCACCCATTGTTAAATTGAATAAAAAGAAAGAGAAAATTTCCAAGATTCTCAAATCCAGAATGAATTCTGACACTGTAGGAGGGAGTCCCGGAAATAGCACAGTTGGATTAAAAAGCAACGTGGGAAAAAAGATGAAGTCAGCTCTGAAGAAAAAGAAAAAAGTGGCCGAGATAATCGCGTCTGGCATTGAAAATTTTGATGCACCAGAGAGTAAGAAAAATAAAAATCTGTTGAAGAGTAAAATATCAAAACATAAGAAAAAGTTGATCATAAACTAATTGTAAAATTTTGTTTTTCAATTTTTTGTATGATAATAAAAAAGCTTTAACAAATAAAAGAAAGTTTTCTACAATAATGTAAATTTATTTACTTCATGTTGGTCATGTCCTTTATGCCCCCCATAAGAAGGTGAATATGTAATGAGATTCAATGGATGAGTATTACCATAATCCTGTGAGTGCCCCATTCAGAAGTACTTCATAATAGAAAAACCATCTGAATTCCTAATAATAAAAGAGTATAAATAGATGAGAACCCAGGGGATGACGGCCAGAAGGAGTTGACATCTCACGTCAAGCACATCCCTTAGCTCTGCGAAGTGTAAATTAGTTTCATTGCAATGTTGAAAGTATCGCTGGTCCTTTTGGCTCTAGTTTCCGTAGCTTACTCTTGTTTAATTACAAACTGCCCAAGGGGTGGAAAAAGGGGAGATCCTACTTTTTTGCTAGAAAACATTGCAAGAGAAGTAAGTTTTCATTGAAAAACAAATGCATTGAAAGCAGTGCTACGTATAATTTTGGAAAATTTTTCTCAGTGTCCAGCCTGTGGTCACGAAGAGCAAGGACGCTGCTTTGGGCCCCACATCTGCTGTGGCCCGAGCATGGGTTGCCACATTGGCACTCTGGAAACTCTCAGATGCAGGAAAGAAAGCTTGTACTCGAGGCCTTGCGTGGCAGGCTTTGCCATGTGCCAGGGAAACAGCGGAAGGTGCGCCGCCAATGGAATTTGCTGCTCTCAAGGTATAATTAAAGTTTACAATATTGTGTGAAAAATAGCGAGCTTTCTATCGTTGACTTTTGACATTTTTAGAATCTTGCTTCACTGACTCAGCATGTAAACTGGTAGATGAGAGTGGGAACGATAGGAAGATCGGTGCCGAGTTTGGTGCGTTTCTCTTGGAAAACGCCGGGGCGAATGAGCGCATTCTTAGATGAATTTCTTTTGCAAATTATATTACAAGTAAATCAATTCCATATTAGATAACCAATTACATATTTATAATTGTGCTTCATTGTACGTTGATTGATATCAAACAAATTGATGCGTGCATCATATTTGTATTAAATTTATTACGAATAAAAAGTATGAGTACATGAAAAACGACTGTTTGACATGCAAATTATCATTAAAATCAATCAAACTTACCAATTCAGGCTTTGATTTAACTCAGGCTATGTTTCGAGCTCGCAGTTTTTATTTTTATTTGTTGCAACCACTTTTTCGACTGCTTCTTTGTATGGTTGAAAACACACACTTGGAGTTAAAGAAATAGCGTATCATTATTATATCACTATTATCTTTTATACATTAATTTTTTTTTCCAAGTATCGACGCCAACTTTCGTATTAAAATGCTAAAAACAACAACAAAAACGGCAACAACAACAGCAGAACTGGAAAAAAAAAAGGGACGTGACAAGTGACATCTTCTTGTGTGGCGCTTTTTTGAATTTCGCGGAAACCTGAAGCAGGGCGAAGGAGCGAAATTCAAATTGAGTCGCATTTAAAGCCAGAAAAAAAAACAAAAACAAAGAAAAAGTTGGAAACCACTTGACGAATCTCAAAATATCTAAAGTATGAAAATATGTTAGGTTCTCTCGCAAGTACATTATACATTTTGTTATCACTTCAAATTATTACATCACGCACTAACAAATGGGGAGAGCTGCAGACGGTTAACCTTAAAAAAAATGGCCGCCTCCCTGTTGCAAACGGCAGTTCGTAAAGTATCGCGAAGAAAACCCTTTGCCCAGTGCCACCAGCTGTCAGTCCTCCTTTTCCCCGAGGAGCGCAATAAAATCTTCCGAAACTTCTCGAGTACATTTCGCGAGCGGAGCAACAGCGAGAAATCCTACCGCCAGTATTTCCTAACCTGCGCGGGTGTCCTGGCATCGGGTATCTACTGTTACGGTCTTTCCAATGATTCCAAGGATGTCGACAACGGGGAGCGGTTTAGCGTTTTTCCCCTCGTCTCTGCCAAAAGTTTGCCACACAACGTTGCCAGTAACAGGGACAAGTACAATTTTATTGCCGACGTAGTGACGTTGTGTGCGCCGGCTGTTGTTTACATCGAGATCCAGGATAACAAAAGGTAACAATGGGCTCTTGTATATAGATAACAGTCACGTTGTTGTTGCTGTAGTTTATTCCGAGTATGCAGAACAGTGATTTTCAATAAAAAAAAAAAAAAAAAATAGGATAGACCTTTTTACAGGCAAACCAGCCACTGCGAGTAATGGCTCGGGCTTCATTGTCGAAGAGGACGGATTGATCTTGACGAATGCCCACGTTGTGATCAATAAGCCAAACGCGTCCGTCAAGGTACATGTAAGTCCCCTCGTCCAATCTCCATCCTTATATGTTTCCTTCTCTTCATTCCTGTTTTCTAAATATCATCCACTCGGGTATCTACTGATATAAAATGTGTTCTTCCAGGTTCGTCTTCAAGATGGAAGTACTTTCACGGGGATCGTGGAGGATGTCGATTTCAACAGTGATCTGGCTACAGTCCGTATAAATAAGGTGAATCTATTTAAAGCACTAGTTCATTTCTTTTTTTCCAGTTGTCATGTTTACTAATGATTTTGTCGATTGTTTGCAGAAAAACTGCCCAGTAATGAAACTTGGTTCTTCTGAAAAATTGAGGCCTGGAGAATTCGTGGTTGCCATAGGTTCTCCGCTGGCTTTGAGCAACACCATTACAAGTGGCGTAGTGAGCAGCGTCAATCGCCTGAGCGAAGAGTTGGGGCTCCGTAACAAACACATGCAATACATACAAACGGACGCTGCGATCACGGTACGTGTGTCAAGGATTTTTATTTTTTTCTTGTTTTAATTTTTTCCTCTTCTTTTGTAGTTTGGTAATTCAGGAGGGCCACTAGTTAATTTGGATGGGGAAGCAATCGGCATCAATGCTATGAAAGTTACGGCTGGCATATCTTTTGCGATTCCAATAGATTACGCAAAAGATTTTTTGAAAAAGTCGGAAGATCGTAGAAAAAACAAAGGTTTTTTTCACGTTTATCTTGTTTAATTGTCACATGCAATTTGCTTGGTTGCAATTCTTACTAGACGTATATTTTGCAGGAACATCTTCTACTGGAGGATTCAGTGATTATGCAAGAAGAAGATATTTGGGAATCACGATGTTGACTCTTACGCCTGATATTATAAGCGACATGCAACAACAAGGTGGACACGTTCCAGCTCTCATAAGACACGGTGTTTTAATATGGAGGGTGATGTTTGGATCTCCAGCATATGCGTAAGTTTTTTTTAAATGCTTAATAAAAAAAATCCACAGGAATAATGATTTGGACGGTAAAATTTTTTCAGCGGAGGCTTGAAACCAGGTGATATTATCACGCATGTGAATGCTGAGCCCGTAAAGGAATCGTCCGACATTTACAAAATGTTGGAGCAGCCTGGTTCGGTGACTGTGACGGTGATGAGAAGCGGAATCGTTTTGCAGCTGGAAATTCAACCTGAAGACGTTTAATATTTGCTTATAAGTATTGGTTGTTGGAGCACACTTGCGTTTATTGGACATCGCGTATTTTGTATTATTTTCTAACGCCATTGTATTTTAACGCACACAAGCTTTTATTAAAGTTTTTAATTTAAAAATCTTTTTCGTTTTATTATATATAATATAGTGTATTTAAAAGTTTTTATATTCTTATTCGTAAACTATAATATAAAATTATTAAAAAAAAAAAATGTTTCTTATTATCTATTTAACATTCGTGAAGTAATAGTTGAAAGCATTGTCTTCGTCAACAAAATGTTCTCTAGATACAGAGTATTTTGCATAAATTTGAAAATAAACTGTTATTACAATCAAAGTATTTCATTATTTTTAAACTAATAGGGGT